CTTGTTGTTTTAGTGTTTATTGATTTTGAGAGAGAATGCACAAGTGAGGGAAGGGCAGAGAGAAGGGATGGGGACAGAGGATTTAAGAGGGCTCCATGCTGACAGCAGGGAGCCCAATGTGGGGCTCAAACTCACAAACCATAAGATCATGACCTGAGCCAAAGTTGGATGCTCAATTGACTGAGCCACCCAGGCGCCCCAAAAATGTTTCCTTATTTTGAAAGAGAGAGAGAGTGCACAAGCAGGGGAGGGGCAGACAGAGAGAAGGAGAGAGAGAATCCCAAGCAGGCTCCTCGCTGTCATCACAGAGCCTGGTGTGGGGCTCAATCCTATGACCCTGAGATCGTGACCTGAGCCGAAATCAAGAGTCAGATGCTCAATTGACTGAAACACACATGTGTCTCAACTTTTTTTTTTTATTAGACAAGTCACTTTTATAGACAATTAAGAAATACTTATACATTTAAAAAATAATAAACCCACCATTTTCTCACTGGGCTTTGTGACAGAGGAAGGGTCTGTTGAAGACAGTCCCCTCTGGACGCTGGAAAGTGGATCAGGGCATCTTCCTGTCAGTGTTAATGACAGAAGAAAAACTATCTTTTCATCTTTTCCGATTTTGTCTAAGATAATCTAAGTGTTGAATCAAAAATTTCTAGTCCTGGGGTGTCTGGGTGGCTCAGTCGATTAAGTGGCCGACTCTTTATTTGGCTCAGGTTATGATCTCATGGTTCGGGAGTTCGAGCTCCACGTCAGGCTCTGGGTGGGTGGTGTGGAGCCTGCTTGGGATGCTCTCTCCCTCTCTCTCTGCCTCTCTCTCTCTCTTTCAGAAATAAATGAACAGACCTTAAAAAAAAATTAAAACTGGGGCGCCTGGGTGGCTTAGTCAGTTAAGCGTCTGACTTTCGCTTAGGTCATGATCTCGCGGTTCGTGGGTTCAAGCCCCGCGTCGGGCTCTGTGCTGACAGCTCAGAGCCTGGAGCCTATGTCAGAGTCTGTGTCTCCCTCTCTCTCTCTGACCCTCCCCTGCTCATGCTGTCTCTCTCTCTCTCCTAGAAATAAATAAAACATATTTAAAAAAAATTAAAACTTTGCAGTCCCAAAGAAGGAATTAAACACTTATCCTGCCTATTTCATATACATCATATTTCAGGGCAGCCAAATACCCCTGATTGGGGAGGGAAACTATGATACCAGAAAACAACAGCAATGACACCCTTTTGCAGCCCTCAGTGAAGTCATTAAGTCGGAGAAAGATCATCAGAGGAGGAAACCATCAGATAAAAGTGGAGACTGAAAAATAGGTAGATGGAAACATCTGTAAGCATAGACACGTACGGACACACAGATAGAAGAAGGCTGGACCGATGGAGTGGACAAAACTTCTAATCCACACGAGAGGTTTCATGGTCACTTAGATTTCAAAGCTGAATTCACTATGTAATAGCCTAGGCCCTGCCCCTCCCCCAGCATCCTCTCTCTCTTGCTCGAGGAGACCTCACGCCAAGTACTCCCACGCAAGGAACATGGGTATCACCTGGGCCCTGACCCTCACCCTCACCATCAAGCCGATTTACCACCTCAGGATTGTCTCCCCGCACAAGTGTTCTACCCACCCTTGGTCGAGGGCTTCCCAGTACCCCCAGGGTGAAGTTCAAAACTCCCAGGTCACCATCCTGGCCAGCACCGGGCCAGTCTTGCGTTGAATTGCCACTTCTCCGCACACACCAGGCTGTTTCCTGAGGCTGGTTTTGACCTCAGGCTTTTACCCTCTGCTTAAAACACTCTGCCTTATAAAATCCTGCGCTGCCTTAAACATCTGCCAAAGCAGCCTCCTTCTATGAGTCCGACCTGCCCCCACACAGCCCGCCTTCCCTGGCCTCCTACATCACCCCATACCTGGGCCTCCCGCAACGTGCATGTTGCCCTGTGTCTGTCTGTCCGTCCTCCTTACCTGGCTGTAAAACCCTTGAAGAGGAACTGTGCCTTACTCATTCTCTGAATCCTCAATTCCTATGTAGTATATAGTATGTGCTTAATAAATGCTTCTAGAATATACTATATGTCTCCTTTAAAACAGAGGCGGGGGAAGACCTCACATTCCATCTTAAGGAACACTACAAGGGTAAAAGAGACTTATGTGCCTGACTAAACTTTTGGTGACTCCTGACAATCTCCAGCAGGAAACTGGAGGTCAATTATAATTTGATTAAGATTTTAAACATTTATTTTTGCAGTTGCACTCTTATTATACAACGTTCTCCAAGGATCCTTTCATGCAGTAAAGGAAGGAGTAACACTCACTGAGCCGGGATATCCAATTTGCCCCATAAAATCCGTGTATGGCCAGTTAAGAGGGTACACAGGAAGTTTAAAAACAGTACAGAGCTTCCTCAAAAAGTTAAAAATAGAACTACCCTACAATCCAGTAATTGTGCTACTGGGTATTTACCCAAAGAAAACAAAAACACTAATTCAAAGGGCTATGCAAACATAGCACCCATGTTTATAGCAGCGTTATGTATAATAGCTAAATCATGGAAGAAGCCCAAGTATCCAGCGATAGATGAAGGCATATAGATATGACAAGCGCCCGCACACGTGTGTGTGTGTGTGTGTGCATGCACTCACGTTGGAATATTACTCAGCCATCAAAAGGAATGAAATCTTGCCATTTGCAACAACATGGATGGAGCCAGAGAGTATGACGGTAAATGAAGTAAGTCAGTCAGAGGAAGACAAATACCATATGATGTCACTCATGTGGGATTGAAGAAATACAACAAACAAGCAAAGATTAAAAAAAGAGGGGGAAGAAGGGGGAGAGGGGAGGGAAAGAGGGAGAGGGAGAGGGAGAGAGAGACTGGGCGCCTGGGTGGTTCAGTCGGTTAAATGTCTACCTTCAGCTCAGGTCATGATCTCTCAGTCTGTGAGTTCGAGCCCCCATGTGGGGCTGTGTGCTGACAGCTCAGTGTCTGGAGACTGCTTTGGATTCTGTGTCTCCCTCTCTCTGTGCCCCTCCCCATCTCTCTCTGTCTCTCTCTCAAAAATAAACTTTAAAAAAGGAGAGAGAGGTAAACCAAGAAACAGACTCTTTTTAAATTTTTTTTAAAATTTATTTTTGAGACATGGCATGATCAGGGGAAGGGCATACACGCGCACACACACACACACACACACACACAATACGAAGCAGGCCCCAGACTCCGAGCTGTCAGCACAGAGCCTGATGCCAGGCTTGAAGTCATGGACCAAAAGATCAGGCCCAGAGGTGAAGGCAGATGCTTAACCTACGGAGCCACCCAGGTGCCCCTAAGCAGACCCTTAACTACGGAGAAAGCACTGGTGGTCAGGGAGGAGGCTGGGGGTGGGAAAGTAGGTGATGGGGCACTTGTGACATAGGAAGTAGGCGGGCACTTGTGATGAGCACCACGTGATGCACAGAATCGGTGAATCCCTATACTGCACACGTGAAACTAATCTAATACACTTAACTATATTGGAGTTAAAATGAAAACTTAATTAAAAAATTAAAAAAAAACCCTTCCAGATTTTACAAATATCTCAAACACAACATTTCCAGCATGTCTTATAGAAGTCGACTTCAGATGATTGCTTCCCTGCCCAAGGTCTGGCTCGAAGGAGGTGCCACATGGCCAGGGTGAACTGGCTCCAAATCCGGCCCAGGATGCTGCTTCGGGCCTCCTGTGGGCTCGCTCTTCTTTTCTAGAAATGTGTCCTACATGAGATTTTCTCCTGTGCAGCCTAATTTCTTGACACTGAGAACGGTCGGAGGTCTGCTTCCTTTCTACAACTTTCAATCGCTGTTTCAGCTTCATCCAAAAAAGCTAACACTGGCTAACATATTTATTTATTTGTCACATTCCTTAAAAGCCATGTGTAAAATACAAATTTATATTAGAATCATAAAACCTAAAATATACTAAAGTCAGTAATAAATAGATTCAAATACAATTAAGAAAAAAATTTATTCTAAGATCTGGATTTTAGAAATCGCAAAACTCTAAAATTCTAACTTTGGCAGTTGTGGCAAAAAAAATTTCTTTTACCTAATCTTCATTATGAAAAGTACATCAAATGGGTAATAAAAAACACATGAAGTTCACTTTCCAAATCCCAAAGTTGAGCTACTAGTCAGGGAGAAACAAGGTAATTATTTGTTTGGAGCCCTTTTGACTCTTGCGCCGATGCTGAAAGCTTGTGGCTTCTTTCTTTCTTTCCTTTGTCCCCCCCTCCCCTCCTTCTCTCCCCCTCCTTCCTCCCTTCCTCCTTCCCTCCCTTTCTCTTTCTCTCCCTTCCTCTTTCCCTTTCTCCTTCATCTCTCCTTTCCTCTTTTTCTCAGCAAGCCTGATACTCAAATGTAAACACGGTAACACATGTGTGCAGGCCTTTACTCTTGCAAAACTTGATCTTTTAGATCATTAGAAGCCGGTGAGTCATACAATACACTGCAAAGAGGAGGAACCCTCTGCCACAAGAGGGCAGTAAATACCACGCGGTGCCGATGGCTGGCCAGGGATCAAAGAGTAAGATTGCTGGGCGGGGAAAGGAATGAATAGGTCATAAAATTCTGGCTCTCCTTCTGTGGATGGGAAGAAAGAAGGCCTAAGAAGTTTGGCAACTTGTCTGAGATCCTGGAGCTAGTTGCCAGAGACTGTTATCCTCCAAGGTTAACATGTCCCCAAATTAAAGAGAATGAAATAGGAGGTACCTAATTAGGGATGCTGTTCCCTCGTAACTCAGTAGTCTGATTATGCACGACTCACCAGAAGAAAGAAAGAATTTGCTCATGGACAGGAAATAAGAAACTCTTTCCTGCTTTAGGGTATTTGAATTTGCTGTTCCTTCTGTCTGGAATGCCTTCTCCAACCCAATCCAGGGCTCAGCCTCAAGTGCTCAATTATCTGCTGGGCGAGTCTCCGTGGATTCGCACAGACATCTCAAACTCAAGATATTCCAGACCGATTGATGGTTCTTACTTGGGGATTCACGGCACTGGGTTGACCCTCCTCACTGTGATGGTGAACACTTAGCCTCTCCAGGTTCGTTTCCTGGTTTATAAAATGAAGACAAGAGCATCTGCTTTACAAACGTTTCCTGTGGTTCAGTGAGGTTATATATTCAATGACATTGTATATATCATGCGGCTTTTTTAGTAGGTATCATCTTCCTCCGTAAAGTAGCCCTTCTATTTCCTCTCCCACAGCAGAAAACAGGACTTTTTCACCATCTGCATTTAACCAACCAACAAATCTGTGTATATTTCCAGAATCCAGTCCCACCTTTCATCACCAACTGCCGCTATCCGAATTCATGCCTTCAGGACTATTTGCCTGGACCACTGCAGCTGTCTTCAAGTAGCCTGCCTTTATCCAGCACGTAAAGTAATCTATGTAGGATGGACCTTGGCCACGTAATAAGAGACTACTTGAACAGTAAAGTCATCTGGGTTTAGGGCTTAATTTGATGATGTTTTTCCTCTGTTTTAATAAATCCATCTAGAATTGATTTTTTTTTTAATGTTTGGTGTGAGGTAGGGATCCCATTCCATTTCTTCTGCCTGGATAGCCAACCTGTCCCCACTTATCTGCAATGTCATTCTTGAAAACTCAAGTATCAGGGCCCATCGGTTGAACGTCTGACTCTTGATTTTGGCTCAGTCATGATCCCAGGGTCATGGGACTGAACTCCAAGTTGGTCCCTGCCGAGCATAGAGCCCACTTAGAATTCTCTCTCTCCCCCTCTGTCTGTCCCCCTCTCTCAAATAAAAAACAAACCAAATTCAAGTATCTAATTACAGATGAAGTGAAAACACAGTTTTGGGGCTTTAACATTTCAAGTTCACCAGCTCAGCTCTTTGGGGCATTGGACTGCATTATTCATTTTCAAGAGAATGTTTCTCTTTCATTCCATCCTCTCCTGAGTCAGCTAGTGATTGTCAAGCATAATCCATGCCTTCCTTCCCTTCTCTTTCTTTTCTTTTCACAGAAGGATCTCCATAAACCTCACGACTATCAATCTCCTTCTCTGGTTTATAATGCCTAACGCTCCTCCAGGATGGTCCCCTGATGCCGGTCCACATACTTCTCATCCAGACTGGCTGGATGTCGTCTGCACCTCCAAATCCTCTGAGCGGCCATCCTGCTCATGTCTGAGAGAGCCCAGCACCCAGCACAGTGCACGGACACACAGCAGGTGCCCTAGGGACTAGCTGTGGGTTTAGACAGGATGTTCCAGCAAAGTAAACTTATAGAAGGGTCAGTGGGCTGCATCACTTAACCTACCTAAAGAATGTGGCAGAATGGGACATTAGTTACCAAAAGAAGAGAATTTGCATCCAAATGCATACAACCTTTTTGGAATGAGGAAGAAATAAAAGTGAGGATATACTTTTGTAGATGTGATTAAGATTTGGAGAAAGCGATTATGGTTTCTTCGTACATTTGTTGTTGAAGGTGGAACTTGGAAATGTTTCTTTCCTGCATTTTTGTTTCTTTCAGCTTCCCAGCTATTTGAACATCTGTCTAAACAAATTTCAGAATTATGAAAAGGTTTTAGAAAAATGGCTTTGGAAAGTTTGTCAGAACAAAGAGAATTGTTAATCTCTAAGTCCCATCTTCCCTTTCGGCTTTGAGACTCGTTTGCTCTGCAATATCCACAGAGTTTGTTTTATAAGTTTATTTGCTTTTTGAGAGAGAGAGAGAGAGTGTGTGTGTGCTCTGGAGAGGCAGAGAGAAGGAGGCAGAGAATTCCAAGCAGGATCCACACTGTCTGTGCAGAGCCTGATGTGGGGCTCGATCTCACGAACTGTGAGATCATGACCTGAGCTGAAATCCAGAGTCAGATGCTTAACTGACTGAGCCACCCAGGCGCCCCAGCCACAGGACGTTTTTGACTGCAGATGTCGGCTAAGTATTCTTTTATTAATTTGCTGCAGGTCAGATCTTGTAACAGCGCACTACCATGAAGAAGTTTAAACAGAAAGTAAAGATTCATTAATCTCAGCCACAGCCCCACTTTCTGATAAAGTCAAGTTGTTAAGAACAGAAGAACTGAGACAAGCTGCTAGTGTCCACGGAAATAGGATCTCACCTGTATTATGGCCGATTCTACTGCTTAGATGGCCACTTGTCCCGTGGGGTCGGCATCCTGCTCTGGCGCCCAGCTCCCGGATTTGGGGTTCTCTCAAGCTCAATCCTCGCCTCACAGGTAGGTGGGGCTTTGCAGGCACCGTGTGTCGCCCAGGACGGAAACCACAGGGGGCGCTGTTCACTGACCATCTCACCAGAGCAAAGTCGCCTACGTGGTCCTTGGAGATCCATTCCTGGACTCGCAGGAAGATACAGCAAAATGGCGCCAATCACCCCATCTTCCAGGTCGGCACTCAGTGACAGTCTGTAAATGAGCTGTTTCCCGTGGGTCTGGCCGTCATCAGTCCTAGAGTTGGCATTTCGGGAGCCACCTGAGCAGTGGGTCAAGAACGAGTTTCTGAAGCTCGACTGCTCTGACCTTCCTGGAAGAACCGGGCCTGTCCCTCCACCTCGCTGTGGCCATGGCTTCACCCAGAGGGGCTCAGGGGCTGTCACGAGGATGAGTGACTTAATGTTTGTAAGGGGTTCAGGACACAGTGAGAGCTAGGTTCAATATTCCTGAACTGAACACATAATTTTAACATTCCCAAAAGGTAAAAAGAAAGGGATATGAGCTGCACAATTCAAATCCATTCTCGGAGAGGGTTCTTGTGGTCCTGAGGAGTCCCTGCATGCTCTTTCCTTTTTTTAAAGAAATATTTAAGTTTATTTATTTATTTTTGAGAGAAAGAGATGGGGCTTGAGTGAGTGAAGGGCAGATAGAGAAACAGAGAATATGAAACAGGCTCCAGGCGCCGAGCTGTCAGCACAGAGCCCGACATGGGGCTGGAATCCACGGACTGTGAGATCATGACCTGAGCCAAAGTCGGACGCCCAACCAACTGAGCCCCCCAGGTGCCCGTCTAGTCTTTCCTTTGATAATGGTTCCAGATGCACCTGTACCTTTGGTTCTCTAGTGCCCTTTCAGGAGGGCCTGTCCCCCCCCCCCCAGTCTTTGCACTGAGAAGTCAGGGAAGAGGTGCACCCCCAGAATGACCGGTCCCTGGGGAGGGTTCAACGACCTCCATTTGTTTCAGCGGCCATGGAGTGACCTAGCAACGGTCCGCGGAGGAAGGAGCTCACGATGTGTCTCAGTGGCCATACCCAAGTTTTCTCCCTACCCCTGCCTCTGACTCACTCCTCTGGGTTTCAGACGAGAAATAATAATTTCCCAACTGCAGCATGGGGGTGAATAATTGTGGGTGTTTTTTCTTCCATTCCAAGTGAAGGATAACAGGATGGTCATGCTTTCGTGAGGTGTTGGTTTCTATTAAAAGCTGCAACAGAAAATACATCTGAGTCACTGCAGGGTGTCCCAGTGGAGGCAGCTCTGAGGACGATGTTTGGTTATGGGCACCACTGCCCTTCCTGTTGGTGTGCCCTCCGGGACCAGCGTGGAAGCAGGCGCAGAGGGGCCCCCGCCAGCAAACAGCTCACGGTCTCAGAGCCTCATGAGATGTTTGTCTTCACGCTCGGCAATGCTCTTGGGCTCCACGCTGTGTCACTCATCACCTGTGTTTGCAGAAATGGTATTTCTGGAAGTGTTTAGCTCCCAGCTCTCACTTTTTGGTTTCTGCTATGCACTAGTGCTCTGTCTTCAAGGATTACGAAATCCTGACAAAGTATTCAAAAGAGGGAAAGAGTAATTAAAGTCTCAGCATTCAAGTCTCATGCATATATCAATTTGTTCAGCCCTGCAAAAAATGTACTAAACTCATGGCGCTGGGACCTGAGGAATGTGAAGATGGGTAAGGTCTCTGCTCTGAGATTTCACAAGACAAGCTGAATATGGCGGGCTGAAACATCACCGGTGAAGATGCCCATATTCTGTTCCCCAGCACTGGTGGCTACGTGAATTTGCATGACAAAAGAGACTTTGTCAATGCTGCTAAGTTAAGGATCTTGATATTGGGAGTTATCTTGGGTTGGAGTAGCCTGATGTAATTGTGGGGTCCTTATAAGTGAAAAAAAAGATGTGGGGCAGCCAATGTCAGAGTGAGAAGAGACCTGCGAACCCCACGGACGTGGAGGAAATTGACCAGGGCCCAAGGAGTGCAGGTGGGCCTTGGAAACTGCAAAGGGCAGGAAACGGATTCTCCCCTAGAGATTCCAGAAGGAATGTAGCCCTACTGACACGCTGATGTCAGCCCAGCAAGAACCATTTCAGACCTCTGACCTCCAGAGCCCGAAGATCGGAAGTTTATGTTGTTTTAAGCCACTAAGTTTGTGGTAATTTGTTACAACAACAACAGGAAACTCATACACTGACAATAACGATAGAGTGTGACAGGTGAGCAGATGTGCACCTATTTCACAGTGAGGTAAGGGCTCAAGGGAGGCTCCTGGATGAGTGAAGGGAAGCAAAGGATGAGTGAATGTTCACCAGGCAGAGGGCTGGCAGGATCCACGCACGTGGAGCCACCATCACTACCTGGTCCGCAGACACACCCATTCCAAAGGGTTCCTTGAGTCCCTCGGTAGTTCTTTCTCCTCCCCCCCCCCCCCATTCCCAGGCAACCACTGACCTACTTGCTGTCACTTGGACTAGTCTGGATTCTCTAGAATTTATATAAACAGAACAATATAATATGTGTATATATTTTTTGCCTGCCTTCTTCCACTCAGTGCGATGATTTGGAGATTCATTCATGTTGCTACATATATCAGTAGTTCATTCCTCTATCTGGCTGGACGGTACCCCATTGTATCAATATACTGCCATTTTCCTGTCCACTTGTTAATGGGCATTGGGTGTTTTCCAGTCTTTGGCTATTACAAATAAGGCTAGAGTGAACATTTGTGTGCAAGCCCTTCTGTGGACATATGTTTTCTTTTGAGTAAACACCTACAAACAGAATGGCTGGGTCACATGCCAGGTATAGGTGTAACTTTTTAAGCTACACATGATTTTTTAAATATCATATACTCTTTTAACAATATGCTGTGAGCATCTTTCTGGGTCAATAGCTAATATACCTCATTATTTGAATGCTGCCGGAAACATCGTTGCAAGTACATATTTGCATATTTTCTGATTATCTCCTTGGGATGTATTCCTTGAGGTGGTATGATCATCTCATGAAACCTGATCTACTTTTTAAAGACTTTTGAGCCATATTCCCCAATTTTATCATGAGAACAGAAGAGCCCTCTGGCCTGGTATTGGGGCTCCCCTATCTGCACAGCCCTTGGGACAAGGGTAGACATTCAGATGCCTACTTGAAAGGGCACTGAAGGAAAGGAAAACCCAGTTCTAGTTGGCCAGAGTCAGTCAAGATGGGAGAGTGAAAGGGCTAGGTATGTGAAGAAGCTGGGATCAGAAAAGATGTGGGGAAGATTTTCAGGGCACTTCCTAAAAGAGATGGTCTTGTGGTTGGCTTTTGTTGGTATTTTTGTTGAACTCTTGAAGGGCGGGGAGGTTGGGGAGAGGGGCTCTATTTTAAAAGGCTATATTTAAAGGATCATCTTCTATTGAGTTGAAGGCTCCTGTCCTATCTGTTCCACAAACTGGCCCCATTTGTGCTCTCTGAAGCCTCTTTAGGATCGGAAGCCCCATCGCCCACCCCCCACCATCATTATCATAACTAACATGCGCTGAATGGCTCACCTTGTCATCACTTTTGATCCCCACATGCAGATGAGTGCTGTCATTATAACCAGTCTGCCGATGAGGGAACTGAGAAGCAGAAGGAGCTTGGCCAAGGTCCCACAGCTGGCCAGAGGGAGGGCGGGATTCCCACCCTAGAAGTCTGCCCAGAGCTTCATGGGCCTGGCCCGTATCCATGACAACCCCGGAATGTTAGCAGACAGCCCCTTTGTCCTCCAACCTTCACAGTGGCCTTAACGAGATGGTTTCCAGACACCCAGCCACTGCCTGCACAGTCTGGTTTATCAAAAGTTAGGTAGAGGGCACCTGGGTTGCTGAGTCGGTTAAGTGTCCGACTCTTGGTTTTGGCTCAGGTCATGGTCTTGAGGTTCATGAGATTGAGCCCCACGTCGGGCTCTGTGTTGACGGCACGAGCCTGCTTGGGATTCTCTCTGTCTCATTCTCTCTCTTCCTCTCCCCTGCTGATGCTCCCTCTCTCTCTCTCTCAAAAATAAATAAACATTTTTTAAAAAGTTAGGTGGAAATCTCAAACTTTACATGTGGTCTGAGGAGGCAGGAGCACAGCACTTTCACCCCCTTCGTCTTAGGCATTGTGTCTTGGATGAGACGACCAGAGGATTTTCAGCCACCAGATCACTGCATTGGCTTCTGCAGACAATGGAAACCCTGAAGTAGACACAGCACTGAAAATGAAGAAGGGATGATGAGAAGGACAAGGACATTTTGTGGGAAAAGCTACGCGGACCTTGTGAACTGAAGGCACAGTGGCTATAAAGGAGAACAGTGACTCACAGATGACCCATCAGAGGTTGAAGCTGGTGTTGGGGGGAGGCCTCGGGGCAGAGCCAGACTGCCGGACTGGGGCCGAGAAGGCAGAGACTGCTAAGTGCTCTTTTGGAATTGTTGGAGATGCATCCATGTTGCTACATGTATCGATAGTTCATTCCTCAATCTATCGGGCTGGGTGGTACCCGTCCATCCAAATACAGTTTAAGTGGAAAAGGGGATCAGAGAGGCAGATGTGGATCACTAACACAGATGGAAAGGTTCAAGATCAACTGTAAGTAGGGCTCGACAAAGCAGTGAATGGATGTAGGAGCTGTGTGGGGTGGGGGTGTTTGGTGTCTTCAGTTGATGGAGAAACCCAAGGGTTTAACATTTGACTTTCTTTTTTTTTTTTTTAAGTTTTTATTTTTAAGTAATATCTTCACCCAACAAGGGGCTTGAACTTACAACCCCGAGATCAAGAGTCACACACTCCACCAACTGGCCCAGCCAGGTGCCCCTGAATTCCTTTAATGTGCTCGTGTCCTAGGACAATTCCCCAGCATCGTAGCCTACTTCCGCCAGAGCGGGGGCCAGAATTCTTAATGTCTTCCACACATGCATTTTAGCCTTTGGGAAGAGAACCCCAATGCCCCTGTGGCAGGTCGTTTTCGCCCTCTGAGCTTAGCTGAAAGTCAGTGTCATAAAATATCAATCCGGCTGACTTCATTTTTAAAGAACGATCACTCATGAGTATCCCAGTTCAATTCTAATCTGTTATGTTTTCTGTATTTAAAAAAAAAATAGTGCATTCATTGCTGCAGATAAAGATTTAAACTTGATCTATGTGTGATCACATTGATTATTAGAAAGAAGAATTCGTCCTTCTGCTTCCTTGACCTCTGCCTTCGCCTGCAGATCACACAAATGTGCCCGAGTCCAAAGGTAATGTAGGGGTTTGTCTGGATCCCAACTCCCTGCTATGTGGGAGAGAGGCTCCCTGAGGGGTGCTGTCTTCAGGGAAAGGCCCAAATGGAAAAGTCTAGACACTGCATGCCATAATGGAGCCTCTTAAGCCCAATGATTTGTGTCCCACTGACAAAACCCTACCACATGCTACTTGGCAGTAAAGAACGGGGACAGCCTAGAGAGAGAAAGACAGGCTGACAGC